AAAACCGCAAGTCCAATTGCTTTGATATTACATATATAGGTACTACATGTGAACCTCTCTTCAGATTTGTTCATTTTGTAATGATATCTTTAATTCTCTAATTTTGGTGAATATTTTTATCATTTTTGGTAAAAAGTGATATTTTCGACTTCTTGTTGAAAACCGCAAGTCCAATTGCTTTGATATTACATATATAGGTACTACATGTGGACCTCTCTCAGATTTGTTCATTTCATAATGATATATTCAATTCTCTAATTTTGGTGAATATTTTTGTCATTTTTGGTAAAAAGTGATATTTTCAACTTCTTGTTAAAAACCGCAAGTCCAATTGCTTTGATATTACCTATATAGGGTACTACATGTGGACCTCTCTCAGATTTGTTCATTTTGTAATGATATCTTTAATTTTCTAATTTTGGTGAATATTTTTGTCATTTTTGATAAAAACTGATATTTTCGACTTCTTGTTGAAAACTGCAAGTCCAATTGCTTTGATATTATAAATAATAGGTACTACATGTGGACCTCTCTCAGATTTGTTCATTTTCTAATGATATCTTCTGTTCTTTAATTGCCATGTGCATTCTAACAGCGGAGCTATCTCAGCCGACAGGCTGCTTGTTTTTCATTGATTGTACTTGTTATTCATTGGAAATTTCTGGCTTGTAATGTTATATGTATGTACATGTAATATGGTGATAGTATAACCAATTCCATTCACAGTTGATTTAATATTTTCTCCTGTCTATTATATATTACTAAAGTTATTGTTATTTTTATACCATACCTGACAGAAACCGCTGTCCGCTTACATGCTGTGGTGTAATCATTATAGATCTAAACTCGTGGCTGACAACCCTGGTATAGGCAAGTGATTATCCCTCTATAGTGTACCCATCACCCCTATTTATCAAACATGGGCTCTTCTTCATTGTGTTCCTGATATATACATGTGCCCTATTTACTTTTATTGGTATTGCACATGGTTATGTGAAAGTCAACTGAAAGTTGGAGGAATTTTCATTATGTTTTGTTAAATGCAAAATACCGGTAACTAATTTATATCTTTTTCATTTACCGTACTAGTGTAGGATCACTTATATCGTATCCTCTATATACAAATGCATAATATGTTTTATATTTTTATTTGAACCTGATTCGTACATTTCAAGTCTAGGAACATTTTGATGCAGTTTTTCCTAAAAAAAAAAAGTTAACTTCTAGGGGATGGAAAGTCATAGGATGTTGCAACAGTGAAAATTTCACAAAATGTTGTTCCCGCAAGTACCTTTGAAATGTACCGTACTATGTCCTTTTATGGATTCCTTATCTGCTGCTAAGACGTGCATGTGATCTCTTGTATTTAGACTTCTCCACGATCAGCAAAAAACTTGGAGCAATCTGGCACACACTGACGGAGAAAGAAAAAGCAAAATGGAAGAGGAAGCAGAAAGCGCAGAAAACAAAACACAAAAATGTTCCGAACCTGTCCAAGAATCGGCAAGAGTTGAAAGATAAGGCTGCAAAACAGAGAGGTACAAGTCCAGCCAGAAAGTCTGGCAGTCCAATGAAGAGCAGTGATGCTCACACTCAGCCCATTGATATGGCTGCCCATCTCAAGTTATTGGGGGAATCATTAAGTCTAGTTGGCAACCGACTACAAGAACATCAGGTACGACTGATATTAAAGGCAGGTTTCCTTTATTTACACTGACGTACATGTATATAGCCTTCTCTATATGTATTTCTCTATTATATAGTATAATTTTCGCTGTTCATTTCGGATCAAATGGAATAATTTCCCCATGGGTCAAAGTTTGGATAAAATTAGGTGACACATGTTGACATTGATGTTTAAAAGGTCAAAGGTCAAGAGGTTAAAGCTACAAGTAGTGAATGCATAATACACTGCACTCCTGATCAATAAACTTGTCA